TTCGAACCGCAGGATCGAGGATCGAGGATCGAGCAGCGAGGATCGAGGATCGAGCAGCGAGCAGCGAGGACCGAGGACTGTCCCGCTCGCACATCCCCGCGTCTGCCCGTCGTTCCTGTCCCTCGCCGTTCACGATCCCGCTTCGCGACGGCCCCTCTCCTGCCCCCCCCCCCCCAAAAAAAGTGGGTCTGTCTGTGGCTGGAGGGAGGTCGGTTTGCGACTGCAGCGGGGGCTGCTGAAGATGCCACGGGCACAGGGCGCCCCCAACCTTGCGCTCCACCCTTGGGCTCCCGGGGCCCCCGTGAAGGGTCCTGGGGCCCGCTGGAGGCCCTCGTGAAGGGTCCTGGGGCTCCTGGGGCCCTCGTGAGGGGTCCACTCTGGCCCTCGTGAAGGGTCCTGGGGCTCCTGGGGCCCTCGTGAGGGGTCCACTCTGGCCCTCGTGAAGGGTCCTGGGGCTCCCGGGGCCCTCGTGAGGGCTCCTGGGGCTCCCGGGTCCCCCTGGAGGCCTCGCGAAGGGCCCTATGTGGAGGCCGAGTGGGCCTCCCTGGAAAGCATCCCGGGGGGCACCTTGGGCCTGGGGGCACTTCTATAAAGGGGCCCCAGGACACACAAGTAAATACACACAAATTCGCCGGCCCAACGGGCCAGGGCGTGCTAAGATCTCCGGTAACTGGTTAACAGTATTAACAGTATTTCTAGTTCGCGCGCGCGGGGCGGCCCCTGGGGGTCCCCCGGCGAAAAGTACCCCGACCAACGCCCGGTCGCCGCCCGACCGCCGCCCGACCAAGTCTACTCAGAGATGGTTTTCCTTCTGGGTGCGGCCTCTCAGGCTCCCCAGAGCGCGCTCAGAGTGCCCAAGAGGCCCCCAAGACTGCCCAAGAGGCCCCCGAGACGCCCAAAGAGCGCTCGAAGACGCCGAAGATGACCCCAAGACGGCCCAAAAGGCCCCCAAGACAGCCCAAGAGGCCTCCAAGACGCCCCAAGAGCCTTCCAAGAGGCCTCCGAAGAGAGCCCCAAGAGGCCAAAATCGTTGATTTTCATTTGTTTTTTCGATGTTTTTTGTGTTCTGGCTTTTTCGGCTTCCGGACGCTCCAAGACGGCCCAAGAGGCCCCCAAGACCGCTCCAAGACGGCCCACGAAGCTCCCAAGACGGCGCCGAAACGACCCAAGAGAGCCCTCAAGACGGCCCAAGTGCCGCCCAAGACGGACCAAGAGGCCCCAAGACGGGCCCAAGAGGGACTCAGGAGGGATACCGAGAACTCAAAAATGGAGCCCTCCGTCCCAGAAGGCGCCCAGGAGGTCCCAAAGAGGCCCCAAGAGGCCTCCAAGAGGCCCCAAGATGTCGCCAAGAGGCCCAGGAGACTCCCAGGAGGCCCAAAAGAAGCCCCAGAAGGCTTCAAACATGTCTCCCAGGCGCCCCCGAACGGCCTCTCAACAGACCCCAAGAGGCCCCCCAAAGAAGCATCTTGACGACGACTCTATTTCGCCCCATCGAGAGACGACCCCCAAGGAACTGCTTCACCATCAAAACTCCCCACGCAACGCGTCCGAACGACACCCGCCCCCAAGAGCGCAACATGGGCAACGAACACACAGACAAAAACCAGCGATGACATATCACGGGCCGGCGGAATGAGCGAAGCGATTCAATAAAAAGATTCCCCAATACTATTTTCGCATATTTTCTGGGTTTTCGTCTTCCCCCCCCACTTCCCATATTTTCCCAGATTCTCCTGGAATCGACGATTAATTGTGTCTGTGTGATTTTCCCCCTCCTGGTTCTAGCGACACCCGATGCAAAGAGAGCTTGGGCCCTGCCGGCGCCTCTCGTCGGCCTCGCGCGCCGCCTTGAGCGCGGCACCCTCGATGCCCCACTTGGTGCCCATGGCCTGGCCGACAGCGGTGACGATGGCGGGACGAGCAACGAGTGACGAACGTCATGGAACGTGCAAGTGTTCTGTGCTTGAGGGGAAGGAGGAGGGAGCGCGACACGAGAGATCACCCGACTCGGCCTCGACCGTTGTGCGAATCAGAAGGCCGCCAGGCAAAGCGGGAGCACCACACGAGCCGACCATGGAACGAACAACCGGTGAGCTGTGAAGGATGGGCGGCCCTCGACGTGAATCGTTGAATGACGAACGACAGGTTGCAAGTGAGAAGGGAGCTTCACCGGCAAGCCGCACCCACCTGCTGGGCCGGCATTCGCAGCCGACTTCTGTCGGGACGCCGGCGGTCGACACGTCCCGGCCAGGATGCCGGCGCGTATGGCTTGAACAAGCGCGGGTCCCCACGCTGGGGTGCCAAAACGTGCTCCGACAGAGACTCCGTGGAACGTTCAGCTGGCCATCGCTCGGACGTCCATTCCCTGTGCTTTTTTCGGTTTCGTGCGTGGTTTTTTCATCAAGGATGCTCCTCGACGGTCCTCGCCGAAGGAAAAAACGCACACGTCCGAGCGATGCCAAGTCAGGGGACAGCGATGAGCGGCAAGAGCATGGTTTCTCGGAGGTCCGCGGGGATTTCTGGGGTCGGTGCTGGGCGCCCCCCTCTCTCCATGGCGCGAGGAGCGCGCCAGGGGGCGGCGCCGAAGGCGCCGCCGGGGGGGGGGGCCAGCGCCGATCCAAGAGATCCGCGCGGGCTCCGACAAGCTGTGCTTATGCCGTTGACCGCTGCTCGAAGGCAGAGGCCGTCCAGGAGCATCGTTTCGGTGGTTCGTTCCTCGGATCTGCGGAATTTCCCCCACAGCGGCGAGTGCACTTGGAGGGTCATGCTTTGCTTTTGTAAGGAAGGGGGCCTGTCTGTCCGTCTGGCGGCTACGTTGCAGCCGTCGCGGCCCCGTCGCCGCCCCGCCGCCCCCCCCGTCGCCACCGTCGCCGCCTCGTCGCCGCCATGTGCCACATAGATCTTCATGCCTAAGGAGGTATCAGGACCCCCCCCCGAATAAGCGGGATCTTGCGCGCCTTGCAATTTACATCTGATTCCGCCCCGCAACATGGCATCATGCCATCCCAGGAAGGCCGTATCGCCCCCCCCCCCCCCCCCCCGTCATCATTTGAATGAAGAAAAGACAAAAGAAGAAAACAAAAAAAACAAAAACAAACAAACAAACCAAAAAAAAAGCTATGCGCGCACACCCGTTTATCAACAGTCATGAGTTATCAAAAATCCAATGCGAAAAACAAGCAAAACAACCAAACAAACAACGGGGACGAAAGGCACACGCGCGCGTCGTCGCGCGCGCATGCCGAAATTGTTCAGCAACCGTAGGTTTCGTACGAATTTCAAAACCGAGCGTCCCGAAAACATCCAAACAAATGCGGTCGCACTGCTGCGACTCCTTGAGGGGATCCTGGTTTTTTGAAAGTGCACATAAAAGGCACCAGGACGGGCCTCTCGCGCGCGCATGTCGAAATCGTTCGAACGCCGTTGCGCGCGTGCTGTAAAAAGAGAATCTGGCAACCAATACAAAGAGAACGAAGTACACACGCGCGCGTCTTCGCAATCGCACGCCGAAGCCCTTCAAAAGCTATTGGTTTCGTACGGATGTCAATATCGAGCGCCCCGAAAACATATGCAAGCACATGGTTGTGCAACAACAGGTTTCCCGAATATGCGTTCACGCTCTTGCGAATTCTTGGGAGAAGTATACGGCTTCAGCATTTTAATTCAATTCGTCCAAACGGGACTCCCGCGGGCGCATGTGGAAATCATTGGAACGCCCTTGCGTGCGTGCTGGGGGGGCACGATCAGCGTTGAATGATACAACGCGGGCCACTCTCGCGCGTCGGCCGCGCGTGCATGTCGAACTCCTCCCAAAACCTTCATCACCGACGTGAAGGTGCCGTCATCGTCGCCGGTGTGATCAGCATCGGCGCCGTCACTGGCATTGCCGTTGTCGTTGTCACCATCATCACCAGCATCGCTACCATCATCATCGCGTCTACCATTGCCGGCGTTGCCATGATACCTCGCCCGCCCCAGTCGCCGGCTCGCACTGAAGTGCCCGTTGGGAAGTGCCCAGCGGTCAGCGCCACCGCGGCCGCGTCGGTCGCGCCAAACTAGCTGGCCGCTGCGCGCTCGAGCATGCGTGGGCTAGCGCGGCCGCAGAGATGCACCAGCCAACACTAAGCACTCATTGCAATCGCCGCCGCATGGGTTTTGCTAACCAAGTTGCGGGTGGGCGGGTGGGATGATTGCGCGAGCAGTGGAGTTGACAACTTCAAGTTCGGCAGGGTGAAGTGCACAACAACAATTGCACACCACATAGATTGCACCACATAGATGGCACCACATGGATTGCATCACATTGATTCTCCGTTCTAAGTGACTATTAAGATATACCCCTCCCGCCCGCCACCCCGTCCTCCGCCCCCGAATTAATGGGATCCTTGTTCGTATTGCAATTCACGTCCGTCCATGGCAAGAACGACTGCTCAGGTGGCTCAAGTGGCGAGGCCGCCACAAACGGAGGATGGGCCCAGGACCTCCAAGAAGGCCCGAAGACGCCAGAATCAGATCTTTCCCTTGGGTGTTTGCAGGATCTGAGCGTTTGCGGATTTTTGGCTTCCCGACGGCCCAGGACGGCCCCAGAGGCCACCAAGATGGCCCCAAGAGCAGTCGTCCAAGAGGCCTCCGGGATGGCCCCCTGACAGCCCAAGAGGCCCCAAGGCAACCCCCAGAAGGCCCCAAGACGGCCCAGCAGAGCTCCAGGACGCCCGAGATGGCCTCCAAGACGGCCCTGAAACGCTTCAAGAGTGCCCCAAGTCGGCCCAGGGAGGCCCCCAAGACGGCTTCCGACGGCGTCAGAAAGCCAGGAGCGCCCTCAGACGGCCAAAAAGCCTCCCAAGAGCCTCCAAAGGCCCCCAAGAGGCCCATGGAAGCTCCCGGGAGGCATCCAAGAATCCCCCAGGAAGTTCCCAGAAGGCCCAAGGAGTGTCCCAAGAGGCTCCCAAAAGGCCTCTCCCTCCTCCTCCTCCTCCTCCTCCTCCTCCTCCTCCTCCTCCGTAGCCATTTTGGCTCAAGCTGCGGCCTGGCCCCCCCCGCGTGTCGCGGGCGCGGGCGTGCGATGACGCGGGCGGCCATGGCTGGCCGTAAGATCGTGGTGAGGCACGGGTCGACGGTGACGCACCTCGGCTCCGTGGAGGAAGCGGCGCAGTTCGTCCGCCTGCTCGAGGCGGAGGGGCGCGTGCCTGGGAGTGAGCTGGACACGCTCAACAACTTCGAGGCGGTGCTGCGCGGCGCGGGCTCCCACCTGGCGCTGGGGCGCAAGGCGACGACGGAGGAGGTGAGGCGCACGCTGGTCTCGGTCGGTGAGCTGGACCTGGCCAAGCGCTGGGTGACGTTCCGGGCGGGACGGCGCCTCACCGCACACCCTGATCCCGAGCTGGCGGACGAGGTGCTGCTGGCGCTTGAGAAGGGCGGGGTGACCAGCTACGAGGCGCAGCTGGAGGATAACCTGAAGGAGATCGAGGAGGAGAAGGGCCTGATGTACGTGGAGGAGATGGCCCAGGGGATGACTCGGTCCGCGAAGGGCACCCTGCAGCAGCCTCCGGTGAAGTACAAGGGGGAGCCGAAGAAGAAGGACCTCAAGTGCAGCCCTGACGACAAGGCCACCTGCGGCATGGTGATGGTGTCGGCCAGGTGCGACGGGGACGTGACGATCCAGGAGAACTCTCGGCTCTACAAGGGGGAGTCCGCGAACAACGCCGAGAAGATTGAAGTCGCGACGGATCGGGAGCAGGACATACTCTCGCTCAAGGCGGACTGTGATGCCAAGGAGCAGACTCAGGCCGTGCAGGTCGGGCAGCTTCAGGAGACCGTCCAGTCGCTGACGTTCCAGCGCGACACGCTCAGGGATCGCTTGCATGAAGTGGCGACGGAGCTCGAGGCGCTGAAGAACCTCGTCTCGAAGAAGGAGCAGGACATGTCCATGGATGGCTCCACGGGGGACGACCTCAAGGAGAAGGAGAGGGCCGACTTCGAGAGCAACTTTGTGAGCCTCTCGGGTGAGAAGGAGCTGAAGGAAGTGAATACGGGGGGCACCAGCGGCAAGGAGTACGCCATGGCCGAGTGCGCCAGGAAGAACGCCGTCTTGTACCAGGCAAGCCTGAGCGTTGAGTCTGCCAAGGCCGCCCTGGCCCGTGCGGAGGCCGAGTGTGACGACGCCGCTGCTGAGATGACCGATGCGTACTTGGCTCTGGGCGAGTCCGAGCAGCGTGAGGTCATCGTGAAGCTCGGCCTCCCCGACTCCTTCAGCACCTTCCCCGTCAAGACGGCCGAGTTTTGAGTGCCGCGGAGGCTCGTGCCCTCCTGCGGCACTTCGGTCGGTACTGTCGCGGAGGCTCGTGTTCCTCCTGCGGCGGTGCTGCCTGGCGGGCGGAGGCTCGTGTTCCTCCGCCGCCTGGCCCTTTCGCGCGGAGGCTCGTGTTCCTCCTGCGCCGTTGCCGTCGCGGAGGCTCGTGTTCCTCCTGCGGCGCCCTGGGTTCGCGGAGGCTCGTGCTCCTCCTGCGACCCAGGGGCTGCTGAAAAGGTGGATCGGCCGCGTGCGCGGCGTTCAGCAGAGTCCAGCAGAGTCCTCCTCCTCCTCCTCCTCCTCCTCCTCCTCCTCCTCCTCCTCCTCCTCCTCCTCCTCCTCGTGTCTCCTCCTCCACCCTTCTTCCCTCTCGTGTTCCTCGAAGGGTCTGCACAACGCCTGGGGGAACACGTAGTCCGATAGCTTGGCCGAGCTCTGGCCGCAACGTTCGGCCACACAGGCGCTTCCGACAAGGCAGAAGACAAGGGCCGGCGGTGACTCGCCGCAGTCGTCTTCGATAGCGAGCCAGGCAACTTCGCCACCGCCCGTGATCCCCAGCAGGGCCCGTCCCTCGTCGGCGGCGGGCTCGGCGTCTGGCGCGCGCGCGCGCGCCGAGGCGGCCTGGACGCTTGGAGCAGCCGGGCCCTCCGAGGCCCCGTCCCTTGCAGCGCGACCGGATCACGCGGGTGTGCGGAGAAGGTGCGAGGCCCCTCGGGCGCCCAAGTTAGAGGCCGAGGCTGACTGCGTCCATGGCACACGGCTGAGGGCCAGGACAGGCCAAGGGACAGGGATACCAGGGCACCCCTGGAGGAGGTTTCGCTGTCGCCTCGACGCTCATCGGCGGAGTCTCTGCCGAGCACATCACAGCAGCAGGATCGCGGGCCGGTCGTTCAAATGCGGCTGGGCCCCCAGGGTGATCATCGTCGCCGCGGCTATCTGCACGTCGTGATTGGCTCGGCTTTGAGAATGACCTGCGCTGCGCCATCGGAGTCACGATGTCCATGACCGACAGGGCTGAACTCGTTCATGCTATCTGCAAGGTGTCGCAGCAAGACGAGTAAGGATCCTGTATTGGCAACTTCTGAGTGCCGCTCAGATTAGACGACGACGACCACCGCGACCACCGCGACGACGACGACGACGACGACGACGACGACGACGACCACATCTTGGCAAAGCGCTCCAGCCCAGCCACGGCAGGAAAGCTCCAG